TACGACCGCTACGTTGCCATCTGCAAACCCCTGCACTACGGGACCCTCCTGGGCAGCAGAGCTTGTGCCCACATGGCAGCAGCTGCCTGGGCCTCTGGGTTTCTCAGTGCTCTGCTGCACACAGCCAATACATTTTCCCTGCCCCTGTGCCAGGGCAATGCCCTGGGCCAGTTCTTCTGTGAAATCCCTCACATCCTCAGGCTCTCCTGCTCACACTCCAGCATCAGGGAACTGGGACTTCTTGGGGTTAGTGCCTGTTTAGGGTTTGGCTGTTTTGTTTTCATAGTTTTCTCCTATGTGCAGATCTTCAGGGCTGTGTTGAGGATCCCCTCTGAGCAGGGATGTCACAAAGCCTTTTCCACGTGTCTCCCTCACCTGGCTGTGGTCTCCCTCTTTATCAGCACTGCAGAATTTGCCTACCTGAAACCCCCCTCCATCTTCTCCCCATCCCTTGATCTGATTGTGTCAGTTCTGTACTCAGTGCTTCCTCCAGCACTGAACCCCCTCGTCTACAGCTTGAGGAATGAGGAGCTCAAGGAAGCTCTCAGGAAAATGGTGACTGGACATTTTCCTGCATACTATCGATGAAGTAACTCATTACAAGCCTAAACTCCTTTCTGTCATGTGTAGGTGGAGGTTTTTGTGCATTCTCTTTTTTTTGGTATTGTTTTCATTTTCTTTGCTTTTTGGTTTTCTTGGGTTTGATTTTGAATTTATTGATTATAATTTTTTCCATAAAAATGTCTTTACCCATACTATTACCACATCAGTATCTACTCGTCTGCTGTAACCCAAGGGCTTTCAGCAGTCATTATATCTGTACATTTGAATGAAATAAAGTTCCCTGCCCCGACCTCTGTGTCCAAGATGCTTCCTCAGCCCTTTCTGGAGCTGCAGGGGTAGTGCCTGTGTGCAGAGCTGGAGGGAAGAGACTCCCAGCACAGCAGCACAGCCAGGGACAAGGGCACTTGCTCCCTCCACACCTGCTCTTTCCAGCTCCACAC